CTCTAGGATTTCTGCCCACCACATCTCCCACCACACAGGGCCCCACGCCTCAGCCAAGACCCTGGAGACCCCATGCTCTAGCTCCGCCCCTCGCCAGCCTGACTTTCCTTCCTGTCTCTCACTCTTCACCACCCCTGCCCCACTCACAAACCCTCCCTACTGCCCACCTGGGGATCTTCCTTATTCCACAATCATCTTGTTTTGGCTCAGAACTGGTGCAGATTTAGATTTCGGAGGGTGGCCACCCACCTCCTCAGTGAATTCCTCCCCTCAGCCCTTGATTATTAAGCTCCTCCAGCTTGCAGAAGCCTCCATGGCCACACTACAGGTATCAGCTCTACCACCATCATCTTCATCTGGTGGGACAGACACACACCCCTGTGCTGTACCTTTTGCTCCTCAGGCCTTGGTCTTCATGGAGATGCTTGCATTTCCCTCTCTGTTCAGGGCACTGTTGTTCACCCAGACCCCTAATTTATAGCTATGACATCTTCCACTCCAGGTCTGACCAGATGGGACTTGGGTTCCAGGGAGCATGGTCACTTCTGTAACTTGGTGTCTATTTTCTATTCTCCATTTGCATTGCATACATTGATCCATGACATCTGTGGCCAGAATGGCCAACTACAAGCTAGTAACTGAGAACAGGGGAACTGTTATAGAGGGCTTACTTAGGAAGCAAGAGCAGGTGAGTTGCTCAGGTTCTCCCCCAGTTTACATAGTAAACTCCTGTCCTGATGTCTACAAAGAGCGCCCACCCATGCTCAGCCTGAGGGATACCAGCTGAGCCAGTGGGATGGAGCTCCTGGATGGCTCCTCTCTAAATTTGGGTGGAAGGAACTACAGTTACTGCACAGTGCTTACCAAAGCAAACATGCCTTTGTCCCTGCACAGTATTGTCTTTGGCTATTGATGGAATTGCTTTATTTCACATTCCTGTTATTGTAAAGTTGAGAATCTTTTCCTAGTTCCAAGAGTCATTTATATTTCCTTACTTGTGAATACTTCGCCCCTCACCTTTGCTTACTTTTCCATTGGGCTTTTGATATTTTTCTAAGACAAATCCTTTCTTTTGACTGTGAAATGTTGCTATGGTTTTGCTTGTGCCTAAATTTTTATTTTTATGGTATTGAGTGTGTCAGCATTTTCTTGTGTGGTTTCTGGTTTTTGTGAGATTCTTCCACTCAAAGATGATTAGAAATAAACCTTTGCCAGTTTTCCTTTAGTGCTTGTTACAAATTCAGTTTGTAATCTCTAGCATTGGTTTGCATCTAAGGCATGAGATAGGAACTTGACTTACTTTTCTCCTGGATAGCCGCCCACTTACCCACGTGCTGCTTCCTGGGCAACTCTTCCTTCCTGATGTATGTTAATGCCCGTATCATAGACCACTCCTTTTTAAAAGATTGATCTCAATTTGCTGTTATAGGAGTTTGTTTGTTGCTCCTCTCCCTACTAGAATATAAACCAAGGAGGGCAGAAATCACAGCCTACTGTTCTTTGTGATTGCTTCATACAGTTCTTTTCTTTTTTACTTTTTGTGGCACTGGGAATTGAACCCAGGGCCTTGGTGCTGAGCTACAGCCTCACCCTTCTTAAAATTAAAAAAAATTTGTTTTGCTTTGAAAGAAGTTCTCACTAAGTTGCCCTGGCTGAACTCAATCTTGCCATCCTCCTGTGAGAGAGCTGGAATTACAGGGATACACTGACAGATCCAGCTGCTGTCCTGTTTTGTATTGTGTGTTCTATTCTCTATTTTTTGTTGTGTGCATGTGTATCTGTGGGGTTGGCCCAAACAGCCCCCTCTTCCATGGGATGGAAGAGAAGTGAGATGGATGGTGCTATGTGATTTCAAAAGGTTTCAAAGCAAAAGCCACTAGCCATGCAATGTACCAGCTCTAACAATGAGAATTTTAGCCTGAATAGGGGAAGATGGTAAAATTGTGACATTGAGGGCTAGCATTTGTGGCAGGGATGGCTTCTGTTACTTTCAGATGACCAGAGGTTGCCAAATGTTGCATTTTCATTTTGGCTGAGCTCTGAGGTCAGGATTTGGCCTGCTGAAACAAGGCCCGTCTTGAGCAGAACATTAAGAAACAATCTCTATTATTAAAAACAGGGCAAAATTGGTACCTGAGACTCAAAGGGGGATTAAATAGAATTACACAAAGCTAAATAGTCATTGCTAAACGAACACATTGAAACAGTACTGTTCAGTAAAATGCACTGAACTTAGCAAGGAAGAAAACTGAGAATAGTCACATTTAAAATTAGACTTTGGAGTTAAAGTAACTAATTTCAGGCATCTAAATATTGCAGTATTTAATAGTTGTGTCACATTTCTATTTCAAACAGAAATAGATACCATCAGCCGGGTTGAAATGAGGATTCACACACACACACACACACACACACACACACACACACACACATTAGCACATGAACATTAGAAACAAATTTATGCCAATTATGAAAGCAGAACATTTTTCTGAAAGGCAGCCTGATTTGAAAACCTCTGGGATTCTAAAGGCTCAGGGGGATCCTTAGGAATTTTCTTGCTGCAGGATCTCTGAGGAACTTCTTATATTTGTACATTTTAGAAAAGATTGATTGCTGCTGGTTGTGGTGGCACACGCCTGTAATCCCAGCACTCGGGAGGCTGAGGCAGGAGGACCACTGTGAGTTCGAGACCAGCCTGAGCTACATAGTGAGTTCCAGGTCAGTCTCAACTGCATAGTGGGATCCTGTCTCAAAAAACAAAAAGATTGATTGCTGCATGGAAGGGTTTGTTATCCACAGTCTCCCCGCAATACTCCAGTGTCCTTCCTTCCTCCCTTTCCCAGAAGCAGCATATTGGAGCTGCAGTCTGACTTTTACTAGCAGGTGTTCATTTGGAAAACTTGCTCAGACTGATTTTTTTCTTTTTTGTTTCATGTTGGTGGACGGGAGAAGAGGTCTGATGGTGCCGGGATGTTTAAGGAAGGACTTGGGGGAGAAACTCTACATGCGGCATTTTTCTAATTTGCTGAGATTTGGCTGCTTTGCTGAGCTAAATATATCGCTTAATTTAATAAGCACAGTGCCTGGATTCACAAAGCTACTTTAAAAAATTAAACATAAAATATAGAGAGTGGCATTTATAAAGTTCTGTGAAGAGACAACATGTTCTTTTCTTCTAAAGTAAAAGAGGAATTTACTTTTTGACAGTACTTTGAAGGCTGCATAGTTGATAATTTTGAGAGAGGCACAGTTAAAATATTATTATAAAATAAACAGGAACAACCCTAAATATCAAAAACATTTGCTTCTCACTTTACTTTTTCCCACTCATGATGACTCAGTCTACAGTTTTCCTGGCATCTGAACTTTAGAAAATAATACTTTTTTCCTTACTTCCTATAAGAGAATTGAATGGCAAATGTGAAGCTTGTTTCCAAAGTCTCTTGTCTAATTTGACAAGGACATATCTCTTCTAAAAGCATTGTATTGTAGCTGCGATTATTTTTCAGATGGTAGAAATTAATTGCAAGAAGTATTATTCAGTTTGGAAAGTAAGTGGATATTTCTGAGGAGCAATTATCTTCTGTTCTATTCACTGCTTCTCCAAACAGTAAGATGTTTATTTTTTTTCCTATGCTCCTGTAATATTTTCTCCTCTTTATACAGCAGTAGAGAAGTCTGACACTTTGAGGCCGCTTTTCTTCAGCTCATCTTCCTGTTATTTCCCACCTGGGCCGAGACATGCAGAGCTGCTTTTGCTTTCAAACATCCCCTTCCCGTCGCCGTCACTGTGGGCTTCCAGCCTACTCTCTTGTCTTTATGCCTCACTCTCCCTGTCCTCCTGCCTTCCTCTGTGTCAGCCCCATGTGTCAGGCCCCTCTGGTCCCCATCAGGGTCCCTCAAAACTGAGGACACTCTTGTCCTCACCTGGTGACACTGTTCCATGCTCCTCTCCTCTATCAAACCCTCTTGATTTAATAATATAGCTGCTCCTTGATTTAGAAACATAAATTGGAAATCCATTAAATAAAAAATGCACTGAATACATCTGACCGGCGGATCATGCTGGCTAGTGATACAGCACACTGAAGAGTGCAGGACATTCACTTTGCAATCTCCAGGCTGACTGGGAACCCGGACTTACTGCCCCTGCACAGCATCCGGAGACAACATGGAATGGATGGACTAGAGGACATCATGTTAAATGATATAAGCCAGACCCACGGACAAGTACTACCTGGTCTCCCTTATATGTGGAAGCTAAAATATTCAACCTGAGATCTGAAAGTAGAATAAGAATTACTACACATTGGCAAGTGTTGGAGTGTGGATAAAGGGAGGCTAGATTCGAGGGGTGTTGAAATATCACACTGAACCCCATTTATATGCATAATTAACGCATGTTCCTCAGAAATAAAATAAAATACTTAAAAAGCAGAAAACTTTCTACTGGACACAGATCACTTTAGCATCCCTTGTAAAGTTGGAAAATTCAAAATGGAATCATCATCACGAGTTGGGGGCTGTCTGTATTTGTAACTGCAGAAGCTGGGGATCAAGCTCAGAGCATCAAATTTCTTTTAATCATGTTCTAACTCATTTGGGCAGGATCTAGTGGGTTTGGCCCGAGCACCCTACCCACAGAAATGAAGATAAAATGGGGAGGAGTGCATTCTGGGGTGCTGATTTTAAAAGCTGGAGTCTTAGCTGATTAAGAAAGGAAAGAAAGATGTGGCATTAATCATCTTACAGTATTATCATGCAGTCACCACAATGAAAAGAGCTAGAATATAGCCAGTGAGAGGCTCTAAGATGCCCCATTTGTGTTTTGTTTAGTTTTACTTTCTGCAGGAGGGATGGGTTCCTCCCCACTTGACATCTGTTTTCTATGCTGAAATAAGCAGGTAGCTGTTCCCTCAGGATGTCTGAATGGAAACTCCCTGGGTTATATAATCTCGGTTGGCACGTGGTAAATGGATCTCTCTTCCTGTCCTCCCAAGGGAAGCCATCAGCCGTGTTTGTGAAGCTGTACCCGGTGCCAAAGGAGCCCTCAAGAAGAGAAAGGTACAGCTCCTAGCATTGTGGGCCTGCTTTGTCTTTCTTGCTTCCTCTCTCCTGTTACTGCTCTTCAGCCACACAAGTGCTCACTGTCCTCTCTCCAGGGCCTGATTCTCCTCCTCTCTGAAAGCAAAGAGGCTGATATTACACTCTCCCACATGTCTGAGAGCAGTGAGCTGTCACTGCTGACCAACAGCAGATACCCTGATAGTTCACTGTGGCATAAAGACATCAATAACAGCAAGCACTCAGCCACGCTGTCCTTTAAGTACTTACATTAAATCACTTAATCATAAACAACTCATTGGAGTAGATGTTCAGCAATGTGCTAATAAACGTATATCAACCAGCTCTTGGGATTGGGAACTTGTAGCCCTTGCCAATTTCTGTGATGTAAGTGGATCGCAATCTTCCAACATGACGTCCCTGGAACCAGTCAGTGAGACACTTGTAGTCGTTCATCATTAGACAGTGTTCCCACCACACAGGCTTAGCAGATATTTGAAAAGTATAGTTAATAGTTAATGTAACAAAACTACTAGAATTAGAACAGTATTGAATATTTATTGTTTTAAAGTATAATCTAATTAGGAGTTTGCATAAATTGCTTTTTAGTAACAGCTGTTTTTAATGGCTAGCTCGTACAGTTCCTAAAACTTTGACTAGTTTGCTCGTATTAGCTAGTACAAACCAGCTTGACACAGCCCTGCAGCTCCTGGTGTGACAGGTGATAAATACTGAGGCACAGAGATAAGAAGCCATAGTGTGACTAGGAGAGGAGCTGAGGTCAAGCTTGACCAACTATCCCAGAGGCTGAGTTAAACTTTTCATCTTGAATATAGTTGGACTAGGAGAAAAAAATCCAAGTTAAGAAAAAATCACAGCAAAACCCCTTTTAGTTAAGTATTTAGTAAATACATAATTTCAATACCCACAATCATGGGCTTTCTTGTGCCAAGATGGAACTGTGGGGAAAGCATTCCTTGGTGAACTCTGAAACTGCCCTGAGGACAGTCCTTTTGGATTCCAGACCATTTGGACAGTTGCTGGCTTGGCTGTGTGATTCCCAGGGCTTCAGGTCACATCTGTTTTCAGAGCTGGGGGATACTCATGGATGCACAGGGCTAACGAGTGTCAGGCAGAGAACTGTGGGTGACAGCTCAGGTGTGCGAGGCTTGCATTCCGGCCACTCTCTGGAGATACTGAGGACCAAGCAGAGCTCCAGAATCTTGAATGCAGGAGCTAGGCAGGCATCAGGGAACCTCATCTCTGACAGTTAAGAGGTACTAACAAGTCTTGGGGTACCATCGTGGGCCTCATGGTGGGAGTAGCTGGAAACAGTGTCGATTTCTGGGCTTCCCCTCAGGTGTACTTGACCTGAATCTCAGGGCCTTCTCTAATTTGGAAGCACTCTTTCAGCAGTGTTAACTAAAAATAAGATTGGCACAGAGGTCAAAGGAAATAGCTTTTATCTGGGAACTAAAGTGCTCCAATTCTGGTACACTGAATCAGGGCAGCCCCAAATGGTCCCCCAAGGCAAGTGCAGACGGGAGTTTTTCATAGGTGATTTCCATAAAAAGTTGTTTTAGGAGGCAGTTAATTGGCTGGGAAGAAACCCTAAATGGCAAGCCCATTTTGACTGGTTAGTTAAGTAGAGTACCCATGATGGAAAGACACAAAAGGATGGTGGAGGGATACTGATTTTGGTTGTTTCTCCCAGTCTCTCGCAACATTCTGTGGCCTGGCCTTCAGCAGGTAGCATGCAGCCCTCACAGTCTCTCAACTTTGCTACAGAAAGCTTTAGTCTTAGTTACTTCATTTTCTTTCCCAGGAGTTTGGAGAAGTGCATTTCTAGTTATTAGACACAATTGGCATAACTAATTGGCATTTTGAAAGAGGATGTTTTAATCCACATTGAAATGATGGGTTGATCCCAAAGGACAGAGAGATGAAGGTTGGCAGTGCTCACTGAGCGACCTGTGGAGAAGAGACCAGGCTAGAAAATGTGTTCCCTTGATTCCTGGCCTGAAGTACCTTTTGGACAGGGTGATAGGGACACCAGTTACAGCCAGCCCATGTCGGTCATCCTGTGTTGGCTGCAGGCCATTGATTCGAACTGGACAGTGTCTGTGGGCCCTGACCAGGAAGCTGTTCGTGCAAAGGATTTGTGGCCCATTCACTTCAGCCGTGAGCGTGGTCACAACCTGCTGAGAGTGCTGGTCTTCTTCAGCCTTCCCTGAGAGGTAGTCTTCCCTCGGTTCGCTGAAGCCTGGTTCTGAGTTTGCAAAGCTGTGCTCTCCCTGGTTTGTGGCACCCTCCCCGCCAGTTTTATACCTAAAGGACCCCCATGAGATGTCCCAGTATGGGCAGAGGTGGCCAGGAAGAATGATGCCTCTGCTCTCAGGAGCCCTCATTGCAGTATTTGAGCCTTAGATCTTTTGCACTTTGTACAGTGCGTGTGAGCATTGGCCCTGCCCTTTGAGCACATTTATTTCATTTTTGTCTTCTTGGGCCTAAGCAGGGGAGCAGCAGTCAGGGCAGTTTGAAGGTATAGCCCACATCCAGGCTTCACATGTTTAGATTAGAACAACACATTTTATTTACTGGAGGCTCCATCACTGAGGCCTCCATAAGCTTAAAAAAAAAAGCTAAAATAATGCTCTCGATTTCACAGCCTCCAAGCAAAATGCTGTCCAGCATCCTGGGAAAGAGCAATCTCCAGTTTGCAGGGATGAGCATATCTCTGACCATCTCCACCGCCAGCCTGAACCTAAGAACGCCTGACTCCAAACAGGTGTGTGCTCGCTCAAACCTCCGAGGAGCTTTACAGAGAATTATTTTACCAGGTTTTGACTATTCTTTGAACATTAGCCACTTTGAGGGGTCACCAACAAAATGATGGATAAGATTAGTTGTCTTTAATTCTGCTATAAGTTACCTTTTGGGGGAGAATAATGCATGAAATTGTTAGTTTATCCGCTGTGTAGGAAAAGGTGATGTCGGCAGACTGAGGGCCAGCGTGCCATGGCGGGGCTCAACTTGATGAAGCAGAAGACCCAGGTGCTCGATCGACAGACGGATGATGCCGAGGACTGCGCCAGGGCCTGCAGCGTGAGCTGGACGGCAAGAAAGCTGAAGGAGCTGTGGAGGTTTGCGATCCACTCATCCGGCTTGTGGAGGAGGAGCTGGACCGGGCTCCGAACCACTGGCCACCCGTCTGCAAAAACTGGAGGAGGCAGAAAGGCTGCAGATCAGAGCGAGAGAGGAATGAAAGTGATAGAAAACCAGGCCATGAAAGATGAAAAGAGGGAGATCCAAGAGTTGCAGCTCAAACAGGCCAATGACCCTGCCGAGGAGGCTGCAGAATAATAGGAGGAGGCCCTCGTAAGGTGGTCAGCCTGGAGGGCGAGCTGGAAAGGGCAGAGGAGCATGCGGAGGTGTCTGAAATAAAATGCGGTGACCTGGAAGAACTCAAGAATGTCGCTAACGACCTGAAATCGCTCGAGGCTGCGTCCGAAAGTATTCTGAAAAGGATAAATCTGAAGAAGAAATGAAGCTTCTGCCTGACAAACGGAGAGAGACGGAGACCGGAGCTGAATTTGCATAGAGAATGGTTGCAAAACTGGAAAAGACCATTGATGACCTGGAAGAAAAACTTGCCCAGGCCAAAGAAGAGAACGTGGACTTACATCAGACCCTGGATCAGACTCTAAACGAACCTAACTGTGTGTAACCAAAAACGGAAGAGTCTTGTTCCAGCAGAAACTCCAGTGTCATTCTCTTTGCCTTGTAAGAAGTTTCTTTTGTTAACTGCACCTCTCTGATGGAAATGCCAAGCCAATTGTGAACACATGACCAACTATTTTGTATCAGAGAAGCTTTGGGCACCAGTTTAATCTACCCCACCTTTTCTGAATAGCATCAGCTTTTTTCAGCTCTAATTTTTATCCTTAAGTTGCATTTATCCTTAAGATAGGCAGGGTATTTCTTATTGAGCATATTCTCATGAGACCGAGATCTGCTTTGTGGGAGAATAGTCAACACACTTTCAAGAACTTAAGATTCTGATATCTAGTCTTGGGTTTAAAATGCTAAAACATATACACTCTCTGGGTCACCGTTGGCTGAACAACAGGAGGCTAGGAATCATCACAGTAGAATGGGTGGGGATTTTCCACCCAGAGCAAAACCGCAGCTAGATTAACCTAGTCATCCTGGCCCTCCTCCATACTCCACGATAGAACAAACATCCTCTGAGCCATCGGCACGAAGATACCTGGGAAATGGTTATACTACTCACTAGAGTATTTTCCGGACACATCCTGAATGCTACGCTGTTCTACTTGTTTCATTCTAAAGTGGTTCTCTGATGAATGAATGGCTCTCTGACTTTAACAATGGTCCGCGCTTGTGTGTTCCGATGTAAGGCCGTGCTCACGGCAGGAATATGCTGTTTAATCCCATCGAGCTCAGGCATAGTCAGATGACTGCTGACCACCAAACCGAGCAAAACAATCATTCTCTATGGAACATCCAGGGCAGCAAAATAGAGGTCAAAAAGTAATTGGTGTAGCTTTATCTCCCTACTTTAGGAAAGGTCAAATAGAAGATTTTCTTATCTGGGACTTGAATTCCTTTTTGAGGACCAAGTTGATAAAAGTTCAAGAAACTCCTGATTTAGCTGGAGGATTTTGTAGGCAGCAGCTGCACATCTTGGTTTCGTTGTAGTTTTGCTTTCTCATTTAACATCTCAGAGCTGAAACATTCCATGGTCCCCAGCAGTGTGGGAGCCAACTCCAGGTTATAATTCTGACTAAAAACCACCCTTCTTCAAGCTTATCTGAATCCCCAGCCCCTCACTCCTGTTTATTACGCACTACACTATCCAGGAGATTGACCAGCAAATTGTGCAAATGATTAAAATCCACACTCCAGATTCTTGCAACTGTATCATATGTCATAGCATCACTTTTTCTACATTTTGGTCAGATAAATTTTTACAGAAACAAAAGAAAAGAAAAGGTGATGTATGTGCCAATGTCTTCTCTTAATGTCATTGCCCTTTTATAACCACAGTTTAAAAAATTGTTTAGACCACATTTTTATTTTATTACCTTTAACATGGACGACATGTTATGGTCTCAGGACAGTAGCACTTCTTCCTTGGAGGATCGTCATGAGATGTGGCACAGACAGGCTTGAATGAATTCGGAGCCGAGCAAGGCAGCACAACCATGTTTATTACAGCTAATTCTGTTTAGGAGGATTGTGCTCCCATGCAGAGTCAGGCTTCTGGGTTCCTCTGATCTATCTATTGGTGTCTTCTGCTGGAAAAATGGGTATGTAAGTAACGGTCCTGTCTACCATCAGGACAGTTCAGTGGGTCAAAGGAAGCAAAGGACGTGAAAATGCTTGTGCACTATAAAGAGGTGCATGGAGTGTGGACGTCTTCCAGCTTTGCCCAGCCTCAGGTGCTGGCAGTGAGAACTAGAAATTATGGAAATCATATGACTTCATCTGTTCTTTTGTGGGGATCCCTAGCTAATCCCTTATTTTGTCACATTAGCTCTTCTAATGATTGATTTAATGAGGCCTTGAGGCTGTGGATAAGAAGGCTGGGCCTCAGCTCTTCTCTAAGCCATCCCTACTCTACACCGAGGATGGCCACCACCCCTGCATGGCTGCTCATCCATCCAGTCACCTGCCATGTGGCATGTGGGTCTAGGGGCCCTAGTACTGGAGCCCTTCGTTCTATGGGATCCTAACCCCAAATACTCCTTCTCATCCCCAACCTCTGTAAAAGAGAAAGGCAGTAAGGATGATGGTGGGACAGTGGGCCTGCCCCATCCCGGGACAGGAGGTTGGCTGGGTGTGTCTAGTTTGCATTTTTTGGCCCATAAGTTGGGGGGGCCCAAGACATGGATGCCTAGTGGCTGCTGGCCCTGTGACAAGGACACAGTCTGGGGCTCGTTGGGCAGAGGCCAAGTGCAAAGTTCTGCTTTCCATTCTGCTGACTTTCTGTTCCGAATGTAGTACAGTGGGAATGGTCTGGGAAGATTCTTCTCTTTAGAGAGGAGACAGGTGGTGCCCACTCCACTCAATACAGGAGGGGAATGGCGATGAATCCCTCACAGCAGAAGCAAATGTTATATTTTAGAGACAATTAGCTCTCATTTTCTTATTGCCCTTTGCAAGTTCTCTGTCACATGAAGCGATTAGATACAATCACACAATAAGGGTCCTGCACTGACCGACTATCCCTTCTGCTTTTTCCCCTAAATCATAACTTCTGTTCATAGTTAATTTCTAAATCCCAGTTTTGGAGCTTCCTTATAAGCAAAAATGAGATAAGTAAAAAAATCAAATACAAAACATTAATTATGCAAAACTTACAAACTAGTTTGTCATTCTTTGGGAATTCTATTTCCTCACTGTTCTCTTAGGAGTTGTTTGCCTGCGGTCCAAAGGCAAGATTCTAGGGCAACTATTATTAGTTTAAGTCCCTAAGGGCCTGGCTCAGGCTGTCCAGTGAGCTCTGCTGCTTTGGATTCACTTATATACTCAGCTTTTCCTAGATCCTAAAGTTCTGCAAATGCAACAACTGAAGTAGGTAGTTAAACATATTTTATTTTATCTTATAATTCAATTAAATTTTATTTCAAAGTTTTACAGAAGCATGTTTGGAAAAATCCCTTGGTTGTTGTGATGATGGCTATGTAAATTCCAGCCATCTGCTCAGGGACAAGGGCTTGGGGACTGTGCAGAAATAAACTTGGATGTGTTGGGATAGAAACAAGAGCTATTCTCCCACCCCTGGAAATTTACTTCAATGTCATTACATTGTCTTTAAAGAGATAAAAATAGCTTAGAAGACTTATGTAGCTTTTTAAATTTAGGGCAGGTTCTGATTTACTCAGTGTCTACTAAATTCCACTGTGTGCTGCAGTTTATAAAGCTAATGGAAATTTCCCATTTTAAAAATTAATTTGGGATGTCAGCTCTGGTTTTTAAGTTGATAAATCACAAAATGCTTCAGATGGCAGTGACTTGGAATCTTAGCTTTCTGATTTATATGTGCAGGTACAAATGGGTTGAAGAGAGAGAATGAACCACACTCTCCCTCATCTTACCATGGCTATGGGGTCTGTAGTGCTGTGCAAAACAGAAACCATACATATCAATGTTCTGGTGGGTGGATGAGACTTTTTCCTTCCAGAAGAACATAGTTGATTGCTAAGACCCTGGCTGGAGACTGTTTGATTACAGGTCTGGGACTGTAGCACAAACCTCCTTGCTCCTCCCCAGTCAAATGGGTTTCTGCTTCACAACTGCTGGCTGGAATGATTAAAGGAGGTTTGTCTGGCCAACCAGCTATATGGCAGCCATCAGGCTGCCAAGGATCTTGAAAGGCGATCTATTGTCATGCATTTCCAATTGTTATTTGCATATGTACCATATACCACGAAAACTTGTCTATTCCTGTTGCTTGCCAACAAACAGTTGGTTTTACAAGGTGTGGCAAAAGGTACTAATTACACATTTCATTTCTTGTTTTGGGCCTGCCAGATCATTGCCAACCATCACATGCAATCCATCTCCTTCGCCTCTGGGGGAGACCCGGTAAGTCCCTTAGACTCCTTTATCTTGCTCCTGTTGGGGTTTTCCGAGCAGGGAACCCAGCTTCAGAAACCTTTAAGACATTATCAAAAGTTCATTGTGATGTCAACTATTTCCTTCTCTCAATCAGAAGCTCTTCTTGACTGTCCTTTGGAAGGGGAACCAGAGACAAAGACTTACCATTAGTTTTCATTTCATTAGCCAAAAGCTGTTAGAAATATTTTAAAAATTGACCTTCTTAAAAAAACTGCTGTAAAAATTTCCTCATAATATTTTCATTAAAAAAACAGTAACATTTAGTGACCATCTATAATCCATTACATTTCTGTGACTTTTTTTCTGATCTAGAAAAGGTCATGATCCAGAGGCCAGCAAATCTCATTGTTTTCCTTTTTTTTTTTTTTAAAAGAATTTATTTTATGAAAAAGAACCCAAATTTTATAAGCAAATAATATAAGAATAACAATTATTACATTGTGTATTATTCTCAGAATAAGAGATGTAAACTAAAAATATTTTTACAAAAAAGAAACAAATATAATAACGTAAATATTTCTTTTCAACAAACTAACATAAACTAGTAATATAAATGAAACCAATCAGCTTGTATATTGAAATACCTTTAAAATGGGAATTCGTCATTTGGGGAATTATTTGAACTTCCTCCATTTCTTATTTATCCCTCTTCTGTTTTGCTCTGTATCTGTGTTTCTCATATAAGAGAAATGCATACAAGATTGTGTGTGAGATTCCATTCCAAATTGGTTTGTACCCGGGATTTTAACACAATTGACAGGTGTTCTCAATAAAACCAACAGTCCTCGATTCTGGGCCTTATTCCCCTGCTGAGTGTATGTGTTTCTTATTACTGTGTGCCTTAGTCTACCAGTTGGAAAATGGTAGATACAAATGTCAGGCAACACAGAGTGAAAAACATTACTGATACTCTCCACAATAGGGCACATGACAGCTACCATATGCTGTTATCAGAAATGTTGAAGGACCGCCCCAAGATGGGATATCAGGAAGGTCAGAAGTTCAAGCCTGGCCCGGGCAACTTAGTAGTTTATCAAGAACCTGTCAAAAA